GACCTGTCTGTTCCCACCTTTTCTTTAAACTCCCCTGCAAGGAAATGCCGCAAGCCCTTAGCGTTTTCGTGCGGTTTTGAGGCAACCTTTTAGCGTGATCACCTTTCGACAAACTGTAGCTGCCAAAGTGGCTCATTCACACATTTTGTGAAAATCCTCGGATACCCTCAAATTCTCACATCAGAAATTTTTTGACAAAGTGGCCGTCACGTCACAAACTCGGCAAGCTTTTCCCAGCTACAGCTGTGTACATTCCTCCTGACTCTTTTCACCCGGGGCCCTGCTCTCCTCATCGACTGTCCCTACGAACTACCTTAATATTTCATTCCCTTTAGATCTTTTGGGCCCGTATGTAAACCTGGGGTGAATTAAGCGATGTCCCCGGTCATGAAAGGGCCGCGGGCGAACATCGCTGCAGCTCTAGCCAACGTTCCATCTTATAGTTACAAAATCTTCTAAATCAAAGAACATCCCTTCCTCATCACGAAATATGCGTTGTTGGAAGCTTGCTCAGAGTCTTTTCAATTCAAAAATTCTAATTCCAAACTCCCGTTCGCGTTCTATATGGGCTTTTCAAATTGTTCAACATATATGATAAGCCCAACTCCAGTGTCTACCTCTATTTCCAGCTCATCTTAGTAGGCTACTGACTTGAATATAATCAAGAATGCTACTATCAAAGTGTATATCCAATTTCAACTGTTCATCCAAACACTGTCTATACGATTTTGAGGTTGTGCAATGTTTTGACAAAATTACGGAAACAGCATCATTATATTGTTAATGATAATTGATAGAATCTTTTTAGAATCATTGATTTTTTGGTCAGTTTTGCCAATTCTTCGGTTTGAATATACTTGTACCGTGTTTTTTTTGTATTTACTGATACAAAATGGCAGATGATGATCGTTTTGAGATCAAAACGTTACTCTCAGAAAAACTGCTCAGCTTCTGGAAAAATTCCACATAATTGCAGCCACATTGGAGCCACATTGGAGGATTGCTGCTCAAATCGCTTCATTTTTATTTCGAGTTTCTCAGAAAAAACTTCAATTGACTTCTTCTTGAGGCATAGAACTTTGCAGCAATTATGAAATCCTCAAATCTAATATAATTTTAACATAAATGAAAAATTGCTCATAAAAGTTAGATTGCATATGTTGGTGCGCTTTTGTTGCTCTAGGAGCGATCAGAGTTGCATAAAAGGAGAGATAGTTGTAAGAATCAGAAATAGTCACAGAAACGATGAGGTGCGAAAAGGCAGGTATCACAGGGCGATGGGAATGATAGCCTTTCAGATGAAACAAACGATGGTAGAATACCTTACCCGTCTTTAGATTCGGATAATGGAGTCAAATCGTAGCTGAAATAAAGCGAAATATCGTGAAGCGGTTATGAGACTAATCGATCTCACCGCTTAGGAGTTGTGGTAGCAGCGTTTGACTGCTCGTGCCTGCGTAAGGAACCTTGATAAACAATAGCGAAGACAGACTCGATTTTTTTGCAAAGTTTGAGCTAGGGGGCTGGGAGTTGGCACAGGGGGGTAATCGAGCATGCTGATCATCCCCAAGGGGGGTGATCAGCATGCTCGATCACACCCCTGTGCCAAATTCCAGCCCCCTAGCTCAAATTTTCAAAAAATCGATAAAATCGATAAAAGTAATGGACGATCTTGAAAACTAATATTGTATTCGTAATCTGCATGCTCGATTACCCCCTGTGCAAACTCCCAGCCCCGCAGGTCAAACTTTACAAAAAAATAGATAAAATCGATAAAAGTAATGGACGATCCTGAAAACTAATATTGTGTTCGTAATCAGCATGCTCGATTACCCCCCTGTGCAAAATCCCAGCCCCGCATGTCAAAATTTACAAAAAATCGATAAAATCAATAAAAGTAATCGATAATTCTGAAAACTAATATTGTATTCGGAATCCCCATGCTCGATTACCCCCCTGTTCCAACTCCTAGCCCTGTAGGTGAACTCTGCAAAAAAATCGATAAAAATCGGTAAAATCGACATCGATCGATAACGAAAAGTGGACTGTGACACCCGCCGGGGCCCGAAGTGTATGTGTGCCGAGTTTGGTCCGGATACGGCGGAGCCGGGTAAGCCAGCTAGTTTATGATAAAATGCATTGCTAGAATCTCCGTAGCCCTCAAATAAAACAACGAAGTGTGATATATTTTTTATCTGAGAGTATTCATTGAACAACTCGCTCTGATAATCATCAAGCTCCAATAGTAAAAAGAATATTACGAAAAATCTCCCTATTTGCTCATGTAATCTTTACTCTAGTAAAAGCTCATGACTCCTCGTTTAGGAACGTTTCGCAGGCTGAGAAGGTAGATTTAAGTCAGCGTCTATGCTTTCCAATATGTATACATCCCATCTCCAAGGGCCGCTCCGACTAAACGTTCTTCCCTTTTCGTGCGGAAAGTTTCTTGCCCGAGCCGTATTCTCGCACCTAAGTATCCCTTTAAGGCACATTCGGACTCGCTATAATTACGAGCTCCTTAGGAAGCCAAGACATTGCAAGCTCCGACCGCCTTATCCAGTGTCGCTTTAGATGCTGACTGGAGTTTCAACGAAAGTTTCAAAGACGAAGCTCAATGGTGAAATTGCTTCAATCAAGCGCTTTTTCACTAATAAGACTTGTTTGATGCAAAGTCGAGGTTCAGCACCGATAATGCCCAAGCGAGATCAGAATTTGGATTTGGTAAAGATTTCCTTTGAAACATGACCAAAATGAAGGTTTACGGGTTCTCGAAAAACTATGAATGGTTGAAAAAATATCCGTACAGACCAAGTCTGAATTTGGTTGTTTTCAAAATAATGAAAATGTTTTCTCTATTGTTTGGTATCACTCAGATTTTATTGGTCCACTGTAAAGTTTTCTGGCATTGCATTGCCTCGATGATCAGTGACCTGTGATATTTCAAGAAAACTTGGCTTAGTCATTATTACTGCGGTGTTGTACCGTGAATTCTTGAAACTAAACTTAGATAACGTTACGGAATCACATACGTGTTTCTGCATTTCTTTTCTAGGGAAGTAAGTCGGTTTTTCTGATACAAACATTTTTTGTCTCCAGAAAGTGATTAAGTAATTAAATTGCTGTTGATATTGCAGAAGACACATCGCTGTCGATAAAGCGATTTTGTGAACTCGTAAATCTGAACTTCGGTCTTGTTTTGAGAAGTGAAATTTCGAAAATTAAATCCGAATTCTGATCTTGGATGGGCATTATCGGTGCTAGACCTTGACTTTGCAACAAATAAATCTCACTGCTGAAAAGAGCAACCTCGAAAACCCTTGTGCCCGAAATTTGATCTTGATTGGAAAACTTTTACTATTGAAAATCGATTTTGAAACTTCCTTTGAAATCCCGGTTTAAGCATCCGAAGCGACACTGGATAAGGGGGCGGGGCTTGCAATGTCTTGGTATCTGCGGCGCTCGTAATTATGGCGAATGCAGATGTGCCTAGCAGGCACATCTCTTAAGCACGAGAATATGGCTCGGTTGAAAAACTCCCCCCCCCCCTTCCCTTGTGAAAAGGGAAGGCAGTTTTGCCGCGGTACGTCGAGGAGCGAGTTCTCCGGCTCTCACCAACTCAAAACTCCAGTCTAGTTCTGTTTTCCATAAAATACACACAAGGTGCATTGGCTTACTAGCTGACGTAGACTACTTGCTTATAAAACAGTGCTGCCTAAAACTTGCAGCCACTCTGAAAAAACTCTGAAACTCTCATAGTTGCAATTTACTAACAACAAGTATCTGAAGTCTTTTTTATAATAGTAATATTTCAATATTTTACATCTGAAGTTCGTTGTCCATGACTTTTACTTAGTTATCAGGGTGTCCCATAATTATTTACCTTTTTTACCTTACACATCAGCATTTCTCGAGAACAGGGGCACTTTAAAATTTTCAAATACATGGTCGTACTTCTGTATGTATGAGCTATATGATCACATGTGTGGGAGGAGCTCAGGGCTTCCAGGGGCGGAGTTTGCCATTTTAATCCATTCAATTTTTCTTTAATTCTAGCCATGGAAAATATACGAAAATTGTATAATTGGATGTTCGATATGTCAAGCACTTGCTAGGTTAAATAAGGAATTTTTTAGGTTTTTTGGGGCGGAGATACGATTTTTGACAGTAAAATCCGTTTCTGACTGCTATCATATTTCAGCTCAGAACTTTAAGTGGATTACGATTTGTGCAGACTCTTGATAGCCATCTTGTAGAGCTTGCTTTACCCTATCGAATGGTTACTCAAGCCGCATCAATTAAAGGAAAGATACAAAAAGACGGCCGTCGCAGTAAAAACGGTAAATTATCATGGGACAACCTAATAAATTGATTACTAACAAAGATGTTCATAGCTTCATTAATATAAAGCGGTATCGCCGATAACAAAGACTGGTTTAATAGAGTTCTAAAGGCAACATAAAATGCCAGTGGCGGCATAAAATTTTTTTTCGGGTGTGAGGGGGAGGTCGGAGGGGGAGTGGAGCAAAGATTTTTTTTGTCATCAATAACTCGACCTACGCTAATTTTCGCAAAAACTGTATAAAAGGATTATTGATGTAAAAGGTATTTTTTGAAGAACTCTATCTGTAAATTCCTAACACTTCTCGCAGTTTCATTTCAGGGTCTGATGGAGAACTTGAGTCAAAAATTACTTTCATTTGGTTCCCTATGTTCATTCGTTATAAATTCGATAACAAGCTTCATATCCACTTGAAAAATTTCGTAGTATGATTCGAACAAAGCCATAAGCTATAGATTCGAACAAAGCCATAAGCTATAGAGGAGAAGAGAACCATGGAAACGCTACAGTGATAAACTATTGAAAGAATAAACCACAAATTTATTCTAACTCCCAGGCACTATATAATCATACATTCACAATAACGTTATCACAAAAAGATTGGAGCATGGGGCAAGCTGAAAACAAGTGTTGATCGAACATTATTTGTTCACTAGCAGATCCCCATTGCTTAAAAAGGCCAAAAAGAATTTGAACGCGTCCCACTTGAAGGAAAATTTTTACCGAGTTTATGAGTAGCGTTATAGTATCGCACTTATTTGCAAAGCTTGCCACATACTGAAGGATGTTCCGAAAATATGCTTGTTACTGCAGTTCATTCGATGCACAGTCCCAGTTCATCGTCGCATTTGTTCGTGGAACATGCCGTACAAGGAGGTTCAGGAGTGTAGATTTGACGATCAATGATATTTCCCCTAAATCTCTCGTTCATCATCGGTGCAATAAAAAGTCACGAAACATACTTTGGATAGTAGCGGCAGATTACCACGTAGTCTGTGTTACAAGCCTCTACGGCGCAACCCAATTTCCTTGTGTCAGCCCATGCCATCTGGAAGATTTGCCACAAAAATAGCGAACTAATGCAAGTCACCAGGTCTTTTATAAGACCTTTGTGAAGGTTCCTGACCTGCGTGAACGTCTCAATAGGTGTGCCAACATGTTTACTTCGGAACGTCACTTCCATACCAGGGCCAGGGTAAAGACGAACGACCCTCCACCAATTAGTGACAGCCTCAAAGACGAACCATACAAGATCAGTGCTTGCACTAGAAGGTTACAAATGTTACGCTTTTGATGGCGTCTCTTTCCGTGGCAACATCCGAGACAGGAACACGATGATAGTGTTCTCCTATACCTCTTCTTAGACCTCCAGATGAGACATCGTATGGGCAAGTTTTAGCGTACGCGATAGCGCCAGCTTCCAAGTCGCAATTAAGCTCCTAATTTAGCCACATGCTTCCTGCCAACGGTAGGTGAAACTCACTAATTTCATGATGTTTGCCCCCTGTGGAAGTAAATTTTTGGTGTTCTTGGCGACCTGTCCGTTTGCGAGGAGGCTTCTAAACTATAAACCTTGTTAGGGAACCTTGTTTAGTCAAAGTGGCCCTTTCAGATGGGATGTACACCATAATGGAGAGCATGAGCTGATTGCAGATTTGCCTTCCTTATTTGCGGAACATTTACGGAGGAGGAGTTATGGGCGTTTATTGAAGCAAAAAAGTACGCATTTATGATAAAATGCATTGCTAGAATCTCCGTAGCCCTCAAATAAAACAACGAAGTGTGATATATTTTTTATCTGAGAGTATTCATTGAACAACTTGCTCTGATAATCATCAAGCTCCAATAGTAAAAAGAATATTACGAAAAATCTCCCTAGTTGCGCATGTAATCTTTACTCTAGTAAAAGCTCATGACTCCTCGTTTAGGAACGTTTCGCAGGTTGAGAAGGTAGATTTGGATCAGCGTCTATGCTTTCCAATATGTATACATCCCATCTCCAAGGGCCGCTCCGACTAAACATTGTTCCCTTTTCGTGCGGAAAATTTCTTGCCCGAGCCATATTCTCGCACCTAAGTATCCCTTTAAGGCACATTCGGACTCGCTATAATTACGAGCTCCTTAGGAAGCCAAGACATTGCAAGCTCCGACCGCCTTATCCAGTGTCGCTTTAGATGCTGACTGGAGTTTCAACGAAATCAAGCGCTTTTTCAGTAATGAGACCTGTTTGATGCAAAGTCGAGGTTCAGCACCGATAATGCCCAAGCGAGATCAGAATTTGGATTTGGTAAAGATTTCCTTTGAAACATGACCAAAATGAAGGTTTACGGGTTCTCGAAAAACTATGAATGGTTGAAAAAATATCCGTACAGACCAAGTCTGAATTTGGTTGTTTTCAAAATAATGAAAATGTTTTCTCTATTGTTTGGTATCACTCAGATTTTATTGGTCCACTGTAAAGTTTTCTGGCATTGCATTGCCTCGATGATCAGTGACCTGTGATATTTCAAGAAAACTTGGCTTAGTCATTATTACTGCGGTGTTGTACCGTGAATTCTTGAAACTAAACTTAGATAACGTTACGGAATCACATACGTGTTTCTGCATTTCTTTTCTAGGGAAGTAAGTCGGTTTTTCTGATACAAACATTTTTTGTCTCCAGAAAGTGATTAAGTAATTAAATTGCTGTTGATATTGCAGAAGACACATCGCTGTCGATAAAGCGATTCTGTGAACTCGTAAATCTGAACTTCGGTCTTGTTTTGAGAAGTGAAATTTCGAAAATTAAATCCGAATTCTGATCTTGGATGGGCATTATCGGTTCTGAACCTTGACTTTGCAACAAATAAATCTCACTGCTAAAAAGAGCAACCTCGAAAACCCTTGTGCCCGAAATTCGATCTTGATTGGAGAACTTTCACTATTGAACCTCGACTTTGAAACTTTTTTTTGAAATCACGGTTTAAGCATCCGAAGCGACACTGGATAAGGGGGCGGGGCTTGCAATGTCTTGGTATCTGCGGCGCTCGTAATTATGGCGAGTGCAGATGTGCCTAGCAGGCACATCTCTTAGGTACGAGAATATGGCTCGGATGAGAAACTCCCTCCCCCCTTCCCTTGTGAAAAGGGAAGGCAGTTTTGCCGCGATACGTCGAGGAGCGAGTTCTCCGTCTCTCGCGAGCTCAAAACTCCAGTCTAGTTCTGTTCTTCATAAAATACACACACGGTGCATTGGCTTACTAGCTGACGTAGACTACTTCCTTATAGTACAGTGCTGCCTAAAACTTGCAGCCACTCTGAAAATAGCTATAATGCACTTCGCATTCTACATAATGACCCCATAGTATTATGTGCAAATTACTCTACTTTGCAATGTATCGAAATACCTTGCGATTTGATGCACACAATTTCCAAAATGAGGCTGGCCAATTGCAGCCACTTCTTGTAGATCATCTTTGTGAAGGTTTCTAAGCTCTCACAACTAGTGCTATAGATGTATGCGAAAAATTCGCTGGTGCGAACAAATAATTGGCACGTGCATGCTCCTATAGAAGAGTTCTACCAATCAGACACTCAAATTCAATCAGATTTTGTGGCAGAAAAAGCATTACTCGTCTTAAGTTCAACTTGACTGTCGTTTCTACTCAAATGCGGCGCATTTTGCAATTCGGAAGTTTGGCGCAGCGGTCCGCAAGAAACTCAAACTCAATGACAAGATCGTTTTTGCAAAGATGAACGCTCGATCGAAGCTTTCAGAGTTCTACAAAAAGATGGAGCTGTTTTTGCCTTAGATAAGCGTGCGTGATTTTTGCATTCAAGAAAACTGCTATGTACCAAAAGAAATTGTTAGGTGTGCGAATTGCGCACGCTCTTCCATGGCAAATACAGCTCCATCTTTTCTATGGAACTTCGATAGCTTCGACAAACGTTCATATTTGTAAAAACAATCTTGTCGCTGAGTTTGAGTTACTTGCGGACTGATGCAAAACTTCGGAGCTGCAAAATGCGCCGAATTTGGGTAAAAACGACAGTCAACATGAAATTTAGCCAAGTACAGCTTTTATTCGAACGTCTAATTGGTAAAACTTTTTTATAGGAGCATGTACGTGTAAATCATTTGTACGCAACCTGAGACTTTTTCGATTTTTGCAGTCAACTTGCGGTCAAGCCAATTTGCTTCCGTAGAGTCTCCTTTCTTGTAGCATGGTGGAGATGATTTCGGGCACATTCCATCAATTATGGATACATCCGTAGCACTAGTATTGAGAGTTTAGATACTAGATGATTAACAAGTGGCTGCAAGTTTTGGCCAACCTCATTTCTGTCAATCCCTTTTATGTGCGTCAAAAGCAAGATATGCTGACACATTGAAAAATAGAGTTTGCACATAATACTATAATTTGAGATCATTATGTAGACTGCAAAATGAATTATAGCTATTTTTCATAGTGGCTGCAAACTTTTGGCCGGCACTGTATAGTGTGGACCCCGGCCAGCTTCCCATAGGTACCAACGCGACGCGCACGCAGCGCACGCCTCTGCTGTCTTCGGCGAGCTTTCTTTTTGGGGGTCTAAATGATTGTTTTTTGTTTCCTCTTGTTTATCGTTGTTTCTCCATAATTCCTGTATTCCAGGTATGGCCGATAGAGACAATGGGCCCTTACTTCAACGTTAGAAGAGAGCGTTGTTCGTTCTTACGTTTTCTCTTCGCTAAAAGTTGGTGTTTTCGAGTAATCTCGAGAGGTTCTTTTGTTCAAATCTCTTCCACAAAAAAAACGAATATCTATGGTCGATTCTGATTGATGCTTCTATCGTCTCTGCCTAGAGAGGTTCCCGCTGCCTTTCGATCTTCGTTTAATCAAATGCGCTTGCGTTTGAGTTAGAGTGTCTGAGTTTTTCTATGCTCATCATATTGATTTGTTGCAAAGATTACTTTGTTGTTCGTAGTGAGCTAGCTCCAATTGCTCCTGCATTTAAAAGTTCCAAACCGTCGTCGAGGCTCGCACAAAGAAAACGTGAGAACGAAGAACGCTATCTTCTAACTTTGAAGTTAGGGTCCATTGTCTCGGTCGACCATACCTGGAATAGAGAAATTATGGAGAAACAACGATAAACAAGAGAGAAAACGAAAAACAATCATTGAGACCCCAAAAAGAAAGCTCGTCGAAGGCAGCAGAGGCGTGCGCTGCGCGCGTCGCGTTGGTACCTATGGGAAGCTGGTGTAAGATCAGCACATCAATACATGGAAGAAGAATGGCAGGACGTATGCGGCAGATATGGATGCAATGGAAACTGGATTTGTTTTACTCTGCAAATGCAACTGCCGAAGTGCTCGGAAAGTACATCATCGAGCTTGATCGCCAAATTTAGATTTTAATTTGTCTAATGATGTGCCTCTGTGGATAATGTTGTATTGTTTCTGCATTGTTTCTGTATTGTTCGGCTGAGGGCTTGCTATTGCTTTTCTCCGTATAAATAACCCGGCCGTTTGGCCATGAGCGGATCGGACGGCGGATCTATGCTTTAGATTTTCCATTTTCTTTTTTTTTGAAGTAGTTTTTTTTTGTCTTGTAATTTTTAAGTAGTAAATAATTTAAATTATAAGTGTTTTGTGAATTTCCTTGAGTGGAGTCGGACCGGAAGGTTCAGCCGAGGCCCCTTCAGTAACGGACTCGCGTGATGCGGGGCTGAGAAACAGGGGCGCGGCTGACATGGAGGTTCCGGCTCCCTAGGAGAGGAAGGAGGCCCGTGTACCCCCCCCCCCCCCTTTTTAGTTTTTGTAATTCTCCCCCCCCCCCCCTTCCCGTAGTGTAAATTTTGGGTTATGTTTTTGTAGTAGATCTCCCCCCCCCTCCTCTTTTTGGGGCTACGTTAATAGTTATAAATAATAAAATAATAAGGAGGGTAATACAGAAAGAAAGTAGAGAACCCGGCCGGGGGCGCAACGGCGTAGCCCAAGTAATCTGTACGCCCTTTCTTTCTTTTTTTTATTACTCGTTGCGTTGTACTAATTAAGTAAGCAAATTAAGTAAATATTTTTATTGTTATTTTTCTTTTCTTCCTCCGTCCCCTTCCCCCCCCCCCCTCCTCTCCTAGGGCCGCCACTCGGCACCTAAAAAGGAAAATTCTCAAACAAAATGATCCGTTCGTCCTCCCCCCCCCCCTGTTTTGTTTTGTTTGGGAACTAAATTATGGTGTAAACATGAGATCTTCCAATGCATCCTTAAGAGAATAATCTTTATTTTAGTAGCAAGTAAGATGGTTAAAAGCCCAGAGGCACCAGCAGCGCTCGCGTCGGACCAAGGCACAGCAGCCAGGCTGCAGGCCTTTCGAACTGGAGGATTTTTAATGATCCCTCGGTTCAGTTGGAACCGAAGAAGCCAGACGCAGTCCACCGGCGTTGTCAGATCCAGTCCCATCCACAAACCCTTGGCGCTCCGATCCTCATCGGGAGAGACAGAAGAACGGCCACTCAACATCGCAGCCTTCAATAAGCCAAGAAGGATAGTCGCCACCGCTATCCGAATGTTTCTGGGTCTTTTCTTTTCTTGATGCGATATGAATAAAGGTTTTTTTTTTCAATCCTATTAGTGCATTGATGGCCGGTCTTTAACTTCAAACTTCTTGTGAGAACAGAAATTCGAGAGTTCCTTGAGTTTACTTGATGTTGCATTGATAACTGCGAAATTATGAAGTTGTCAGCGACCGTCAATGTACTATTAGGAGAATTTCTTGTTTACTGAATAAAGATTATTTCCTTGTGGCGTTTGTTTTTCTGTATAAAGATTCTTGTTTGTGTTCAATATTGGTTAGTGTGTAAAATTTCCTTTTGGATGCATTGGAAAATTGTTGGTTAGGTCGTTGAATGTCTCTAGGGCCCTCGAATTATGTAACGTGACACTAATCAAACTCAGCGCGGTCCTTCCTTCGTTCTTTTTCGCTTTTGTCAAAATTATCTAAAGAGGACCACGTTGAGGGTGAAATTTGTGCGAGTAGAAAAAAAATTTTTTTTTCTTCAGCTGGCACCTATAACAAAGTCAAAAACGAAACAGAAGACCGAGTCTCCATATTCTCCACACAGCATTCCAGAGAGAGTCAGGAAGAGAATACTGCAAGAACAGCTACGAGAACTCGAAGAGCAGTTGAAACAAGAATACATAAGCCTAAGTCCCTTATTTGAAGCAGACATGGCCCAAAGTGATCAAGACGGATCTAGAGCTCAGCAAGGCCAACAAGACCAGCGCCAAAATTAACAAGACCAGCAGCAGCAAGAAGATCAACTCAAACCGCGCGCAGATCTATCGGTCGTACAAAGTTTTGAATAATAGGATCGACAAATTCTCCGACATAGGAGATAGAACTTTCGAAGGATTTTTTTTTGGAAAACTACGTAGACACGATAGAACGTTTTGATACCCCGACGCTAGAAGCCTGCTGCCCATGCTTTGAACAGGTTCTGCGAAGCTCAAGTATAATTCCATCGAAAATGCCAAAACTATGCCCTGGGGAGACTTAGTGCTGAAACTGGCGAAGAGGTGGTAAGAACGAAGCGCTCTTAAGTACCGTACGCGATGAGTTGCACGACCTTAGGCAGAGAAAGATTCCGTTTAGGAATTCGCGCGGAAAGTATTAGCGAAAGCTAAAATAGCGTATTAGGGACAGGATAAACGCATCATATCCCAATTAGCTATAGGCGTTTTCGTCAAAGGTCTTAGATCGGACATACGGAAAGCTATTAGACGATTACTAAAGAAGGAGGACTATGATGAAGTTGTGTCTAGCGCAGAAAAAGGGATCAGAACTTTAGATCAAGAGTGAGCTGAAGAGCACGACGCCTTGAGGGCTGTCAACTCCCTTAGTAAGCGATAAGCTTAAGAAGATGCAAGAACAACTTAACAATTTGTCCTTGGCGCGAAATCGACCATTTAGACCGGGTCCCGAAAATCCAGTCGTGAAACCCCGTTCTTCGGGGACGAGGGAGAACGCAGCGATGCCCTGATCCATCTTATAACTTTAGTACGAAAGGGAGCTCGCGGCCTAACTATCTTTTTCGCGCACGCGGTATTTTCAAAAAGAAACCCTTTTTGACACCTGGGGGCTATTTCGCGTATCCTCCCAGCTACTTTTCGCAACTGCCCCAGTATTACCCCTCGGAAATGACTCAGGACCCGGGGGTTTACCCATCACAGAACATCGATCCAGCGGTATGTTCCCCGCGAGCAATTAAGTTCCATCCTCAGAAACATCTGGAAACACGTTACGAAGATCTGGAGTCTTCTCAGGTCACGCGAAAACATCTTTACGACTTGAGAAAAAGAGTAAAACCAAGTGACTATAATGTTGGAGACTCGGTGTTAATTCGAAAAGAAGTCGGCTTGAAATATCGCAACAGTTCGAAGACCTTTTGAAATAATAGAAATAAACCGGCTTAGTATTACTGTACGAGATGGCGCGCGCATTCGTACGGTTCACATTAACCGCACGGAGCCGTTTCGTAAGTAGAGTTTTTCTAGTTTCTTTCACTTTTTGGGAATAATAATGTGCACATAAAAACAAAAAAAGATGAGCTCTCTCGAATAACATCCGCAGCAGGCGACGTTTTCTTCTTGTGATCGAGCCACAAAAGGTAAAATGCTATCGCTTATAAGATCATTGCTGCTTAAAGAAAATGAAAGACAACTTTTGATCAGTTTTGGAAAGAAGGAGGAAAAAAGATCAGTCTTACGCCGCCCAAGAGTGAAAATTGGCCACTTTCACTCTTAGGCTCCGGCTAAGTGCCGCAATATCTATTTGCAGGTATGGAATGGAAAGAGATGTATGGTCGCCATTGAAACATCAACATGCATGGCAATCGACAAATATGCTGAAATACTGTTACTCATCTCGTCGTGAAGCTGTACTATTCGTCTATTCGTATGCTGTGAAGATACAACACGTTATTCGATGCGTTATTCGATATCAGTCCACAATCGACCGAAGAAAATCAATGGACAGCCGAGGGAAAGATGAGAAGAAGAAATCCAACCTGCAACCATGAATTTTGACACCAAATCTGATCATCGTATTTCGTATTTCAATGTTCGACTCTAACACTCATGTCGAACTATCTTCGCGCTCGAGAAGGAACAATATAATTCATCATCGACACGATGAGACACCATTAATAGAGTCTCAAGGACCATCCAATGTGTTCTTTGATGTGTATATTGTAATTTCTTTTTGTGTTTTTGTAGTGTTTTTTTTGGGCAGAAAATCCATCGTCCGTCCAAGCTCTTTTCTATCTAGCAGTAAGCCCGAAGCCTTATGCATTATTCCATCTCTATGCATTATCCCTATTCGTCAATCCGACCGGCCTTCGTAGCATCAGCTCAGGGCCAGCTTATCCCGACGAAGAGGATGTAAGATCAGCACATCAATACATGGAAGAAGAATGGCAGGACGTATGCGGCAGATATGGATGCAATGGAAACTGGATTTGTTTTACTCTGCAAATGCAACTGCCGAAGTGCTCGGAAAGTACATCATCGAGCTTGATCGCCAAATTTAGATTTTAATTTGTCTAATGATGTGCCTCTGTGGATAATGTTGTATTGTTTCTGCATTGTTTCTGTATTGTTCGGCTGAGGGCTTGCTATTGCTTTTCTCCGTATAAATAACCCGGCCGTTTGGCCATGAGCGGATCGGACGGCGGATCTATGCTTTAGATTTTCCATTTTCTTTTTTTTTGAAGTAGTTTTTTTTTGTCTTGTAATTTTTAAGTAGTAAATAATTTAAATTATAAGTGTTTTGTGAATTTCCTTGAGTGGAGTCGGACCGGAAGATTCAGCCGAGGCCCCTTCAGTAACGGACTCGCGTGATGCGGGGCTGAGAAACAGGGGCGCGGCTGACACTGGCCGGGGTCCACACTATACAAGAAAACTGTACTCTTTTATACTTACCTGCGATAGTTGTGCATATCCAGATAATTCATTCTGAGTTCATCGGTCATTCCTAGATTTCGTGGGCACTTCGTGTTGGCGCCTTAACACACTTCTTTGTTTTTTGCTCGTCAGAATATGGACGCAGACTGTAGTTAAAGGGACCGTTCTCAATTCTCGCCTTTCATGTTTTTGTCGTTCCGGGGCCTCCTCATGTCCCTGTTTCCAAATATCAAGTCAGGAATCAGCGAAAACCCTGACAATCCCCGTTCAATCCCCGTTCCGTAGAACCCGCAGGGCGAGTTCTCCGGGACGGTGATTGGTTGGGTGCTCGCGGATGGGCGGGGCGAACGTGACTCCCGCTCAAAGGCGAGGAGCTAGGGGCGAACTCGTCATCCGAAACGCTTCGGAAGCAACGTCTGACAGCGCGTGTTGGGCAAGTGTTCACTTGGGCGCCTTGCTACAGTTAGGCATTAAAATCTCATCGACTCCATTTTGAGTGTACGGTGCCTTTAGGAATGGTGATAAATGCGCTTTAGGATGCAATGCAGTACTGGGCAGAAGGGACGGATGTTTTTAGCTGTTTTCAGATGTTCATTTAGGGTTGAGCGGAGTCTCAACAAGTTTGAGCTACGGGGCTGGGAGTGACACAGAGGGGGGGGAGGTAAGCGAACATGCTAATCACGAATATATAATTGACAGGGCCGGACGAAGACGGATTTGCAAGTTGGTTTTTGAATAATCTTTCTGAATATCTTAACCATACCCAAACTTTGCAAAAATTCGAATCCCGAAATTATCAAATAGTCGCATCAATCATAATCAGGGTCAAGCGTGGGGTGTGGCACGCCACATCTGGGGGTCGTATTGGGGAGTAAAATGGAAGGGAGTCGTAGTTGAGCAATCTGACAATAGTAATAACATGGTATGGCGGCGGCCCAATAGTTTCCAAAGCCTCGCCGTCTTTGCAAGTGTACTTACAAGGGAATGGTCAGAAGTCGAAGTGGCAAAACCAAACAAGCTGTAAGTCATTCGATGCAATATAAAACGCTGACTTCGAATCTGTCTTCCTTACCTGCTTATCGCCTCTGTGGACAAAGATACAAGCGGTTTTATTGTGAAAAAATCATACATAAAAACAGCGGAATTGAGCACATTGTTGCACTTTTAGCTCAAATTCTGGCTTTAAAAATTTGAAGTAAGCTAGCTGCATGTTTTGGCACAGTATTAAGGCGAACGTGGCTCTGTACGACTAAATTTTCAATTTCACGCATAATTTCTTAGCAAAATAATGGTCTTTAATGCCTTATAGCTTCGTCCAGAAAAGCGATAAGCAGGTAAGGAAGACAGATTCGAAGTCGGCGCTTCATGCTGCATCTAATGGTATGCAGCTTGCCTGGATTGGCCACTTCGATTTTTGACCATTCCCTTGTTAGTACCTATCAGGCGCCCTCGCACTTTCAAAGCTCCGCCCATTTGCTCCTCCCACTGGCTAATCTCAATACGGGTTGTGCAGGTTTGGAGGATAGTTCTTAAGTGTTCTGCATGAATAAGGAAGGATGGAAAATGGAGGACAAGAAATTATGGAGTCTACCATTCGGGACATGTTGCCTTTGCGCCACGGGAAGGGAAATATTACTGAGCGATCTTGTGAACATGAGGCGTTAGTGTGGGCACCGCTTTGTCGGAAATAGGGAATAGCCGAGATAAATGTGCATATGTAGGTCTAATTGTAAGTGTATCTACTGAGCAAGTTACAGGTGTTCCAAAGTTTGTCTGACGGAGTCCCGACTTTCTTCGATTTGCCGAACAGCGGAATGTTCCAGGTTTTAATTGAAACCTTTTGTAGTTCAGATTTTATGCAAACCAAAGCACTACCTCGTAGAGCTTGCTTTGCTCTATCGAAGACAGAATACAGAATTTATACGGAATATGTAAAATATGACTTATTGCGTTTTGACCTGCTTTGGAGCAAGACTTATTTGAAACCGAAGAATTATTTCCAACAATTTTTTCATAGAATTTGAGTGAGTGCTCAGCGCTGAAACTCCCTGAAATCTTCAGAGAGGATTGGTTTGAGTCTGGGCTTGAGTTCAGTTTGAATGGTATCAAAAAGTGCCGATAGTTATCCCCAAGAAGTCTTTGGGACGTTCACAGCAATGCTCCGTACGTTAAAGTGACAAGCTTCAATCTATAATAATGTAGAGACAAAAACTGTGAAAATTTCCTTTGCAGAAAAAAAAAACTACCTTCTAAAATCACCGTCTTTGTACCAATATCACTCAGTGCTTGCTTTGAGTACTATAAGGCCTTTTCGGGGATGTCAAAGTGTCTTTGCGTATAAAAGGCAGTAATAAGGGGATTTGCCTTGCAAGGACGATTTTTCACGAATTTTCACATTTGCATATCTATGCTATCCCCGCAGCCCACAGGCTCGGAATGTGATCAGTGAAGGGGTGGAACAATGGACGGGGCTTGACCTCTGCGCGATGCGAGGAGCCTTCTAGTTTGTGAATGCCGGTGCGAATGGAGGTGCTAGAAACTCCTGCGTCCACTCCACATGATATTTGTCAGCAATTTGTCAGGTAACCCCATTATGCGAAGCAAGCACATAAGATATTGACTACTTTATCATAGTGAAGAGGTGTTAAGAAGCTTAACGAATATCGTATCCATAATTAGCATGTCAGTTAACTGTAGACGAAGTTTGAGCGAATTCTGAAGATTCAAAATACTACATCACCTAAGTGAAATGGTCATTTTCCAAAATGATTAACCCTGTTTCAAGGTGAATTAGCTACCCAATTCGGCACTCAGGACAAAGCACTACTCCTTCTTTGTCCTGCTCAGAAATCCTGCTCTAAAAGAACCCCAAACTTTGGAATTAGAAGCCAACCAAATTTGATGGCTGTGTTTTCACCTTCAGGGGAAAACTTGATCGCGCCGCTACAGCGAAATCATTCGAAACTGTAATCCGTGAGCTTAAATGAGGTCTTGATCACTTCCAGGGTACTCTATGCATATATATAAATATTCACAGTTCAATAAACTCATGACACTCACTACTCCTTTCAAGAACGAAAAGTCCTCAACACCTGTTTTTACCTAAGTCAAACCTTGATTTTTCTACCTCAAAAAATTTCCGTAACTCCCCTCCCAAAAGCGCTTTGCAGATAGCGAAAGCAAATTTAGAATCAGCGTTCCATGCTTTATAAGACAGTGTACATCTCATATGAAAATGCCACTTCGACTAAGTATCCTTCCCTTGCCAGAGCTAAGAAGACGAATTAGACTCAAATCATTCCTTTGAAATTTACGAGATTCAGCTATCGATTCATATAAATACTGTTCGCTAAATGTCTTTTCTGATATAGTTAATGGGATGTGGCACAAGCGCTCAAAAGGTGTGGCTGCCACAGCCTTTAAGGAGTTATGTCACACCCCATTAACTACATCAAAACATTTTTAGCGAACGGTATTTATATGAATCGATAGCGTAAATCTCGTTGATTTCACAAAGGCAATTTGAGCCTGATTCGTCTTCTTCTCTGAGTAATATTTGGCGGAAGTATAGCCATAAAATTTGGTTGGCTTCTAATTCCACAGTTTGGGGTTCTATTAAAGCAGGATTTCTGAGTAGGAGATTAGGACAAGAAGGAGTAGTGCTTTGTCCTAAGTGCAAAAACGGGTAGCTAATTCACCTCTGAAACAAAGTTAATCATGTTGGAAAATAACCATTTCACTTTGGGCCTAGTATCTTGAATCTTCAGAATTCTCTCAAAATTTGTCTACAGCGGTTAACTGACATGCTAATTAAGATGTTGCCCGTTATTTGACAGGGCCTTCAAGTAATGCTATCAAATATATGGGTGGGGTCTTACTGAGACAGCATTTAGAGGGGGTGGGTCGTAACCAGTGATCGTGTGCCACACCTCTTGCTTGACCCTGATCATAATTACGCAAGATCTATTAAAGTCAGTCCTGGCGCTTTTTACGTTTCTATAGCGCACACATTCATTTCATACCTTCAGAATCTTTTTCTAACAACGCCGTTTATAATTTTTGGTAAAAGACGCAGTTCACTAGAGTTTGCACCATTTGCATCGCATCGTCAGTCTTGGTTCAGCTTGCACTAATTGTGACCAATAAAATGCTCGTTTAACGAAAGGTCACAGTGCTCAGTCGTTAATCTTTTCAAATTTTTTTTACTTACGGTGGGTTACTCGCAGTGCTGATTACAATACGCTTGGCTGCTAGAAACTCCCTGCCTATCGTACACCCCGCGCTCAAGTAGGCAATTCTACAGAGTGTCCCAAAAAGATGTGCACACTGTTTAATCGTTAGTAACTCTCTTGCTTTCACGTCTTCTGCCGAGCTTAAGGTACCATTCTGTAGAGCGAGGTTCAACTTAGATTTATAGTTTGGAGCAAATCAGTAATCGCTCTTCATTACTGTATGGTTACGGTATGAACTTCCAGCACACATCGTCATTGTGAAATAGGCCTTTTGATGGAATAATTTCAAAAAAATCTGAAAATCAGTGTAGCTAAGTTTTCAGGCATGCTGATTGCATTACATAACTTTCCACCAGTTTTTAGAGCTTTCTTGATGGCGTATTCACATTTCTGACTAACATTGAAAAAACAGTTGTTACCCTAATTATGAAATAACTCATGAAAGAAGCATTATACCGAAATGCAGTCTTCATATTTAGAATCAGCGACTCTAGTTAGGTCGGTACAAAAGTTCCTGGCTTGTTTGGTTTTCCTCTTAAGGCAAAAATCACTTTCGGTAGCTCAAAATCCTCCTCGAAGTTCCCACCGTAATCCTACAGTAATGAAAGGCGACTGATAACTCGCTCCATACTGTAAATCTAAGTTGAACCTTGCTCTACAAGAGAGTATGTCAAGCTCGGCAAAAGAGATGAAAGCAAAAGGGTTATTGACGATTAAACAGTGTGCACATCTTTTTGGGACACCCTGTATATTCCAAATGGTGTGCCAAGTCGAAGTGAGCTGTATGATACCCTTGGGTTCAGAATTTCATGTCATACTGCGGTACGCCATATCTCAAAATGAACGAAAATGAGCGAGAACTACCGCT